CCAACGGTTCTCCTTACCTATAAATACCCAAGGCTCGGCAAGAGGCAAAGGTAATAAAACTTTTACTACTTAGCACTCCATAGCAAGCAAATATATATATTTTCCTCTCCACTATTTTACACAACCTTGGTACTGTTCTGATCACCTAAGCCTAACTTGACCGTCGAAGTGTATACGACTGTCGCCACCCCCGCTGGTTCTGACCGTGTGCATCTGACCGTGCGTTGATTGTGCGCAGGGAGAAATATGGGAGTGGCTATCGGTTGGCCACGTGGAGGGTCCAATTTCCCAAGTCAACACCTAGTGTCACAAGTACGAAGTTTGGTTAAAATTCTTAGCCAAATTTTCCCCTACGATGGCACTAAGGTTTCACTCAGTCAACTCACAAATTTGCACAATACACACAAAGAACGATAAAGGCAGCAATATAAAGAAACGATCACAATTTTTTATGGGTAATCACCCAACTCGTCTTATTAATCCACAATAATACAAGAACACAAGGAACACCACAATTTTTCTATTTTTCATCAGCATGATCCTTCACATATTTATAGCCAAAACTCATATACAGTTAACACCCTTAACTGCCAAAGGGATAAACCAACTCACCATGGTTAAAATTGACAGAAAACTACCTGCTATGACATTTCCAAGCAACTGCCCATACTTTCCACTAATATGGACCAAGAAAATTGCCCAATACACATGTCAAACATGTGCTTGTTCTGGACACTCGAATTTGTGGACTAAAGTACACTGAACAACAAGCTAGATCCATTCATGCCTTGCTAATCTGCAAACCCGCAACACTTTAATATCGGCCAAACTGAAGCAAAAATCTCACAAGTTGAAACCCACATTTGCCTTGCTCCCAAGTTCAACATACTTGTTCGTGCAATTTTAGCATGAGGACAAGGCATGCCCATGCCATGGCGCATGTCAGCCTTTAAGAAGCTGACACCTAGTCACTATGGGATGGTGTTTTTAGTCTTTACACATTTAAATCTTCTTATGGAAGGGGTGGAATTGTAATTGTGGGGTTAAAAATATGAAAAAGAACGTTACATGCGAAAGGAAGAGGCAAAGGTGGAGTGGCCTGGCGAACCCCACATCGATTGTCGGCCTGTGGTCTTGTCTAAACCACCTAAATAGTTGCTTCTGCTAGATATTTCTAATATATACCACTCATGTACTACTTTTTGATAATTGAACTAAATAAAAAGA